AAAAAATATATTAATTTATCCCGTGTTGAAATTTTTCTCCGTTGCATGTCACTTCGCGTTGAATTTTCATCGATGTTAAGCCTAACGAAGATTATTGTATCGTTAAAAATTATTTTTTTATTTTGTACAAACAAAATAAATATATTGAAAAATATAAAAACAATAAAAAATTATACTTCAGAAGTTAATTTAGTATCAAACATGTAAAATATTTGAGTAGCTGAAGACATAGCCAAAGGTCACAGCGCCACAGCACTGGCGAAAATTTAAATTTGTCGACTGGAATTCCTTCAGATAACCGACCTTCAGATAAACGACACTCTACTGTATTTTAATCATAAACCTGTTTGTAACAAAAAAAAAAATGAACCTGCTTGTATTTTTGTAGATGCCTGTATACTCATCAAATTGTAACAAATACGGCCAAAGAGGAACAGACAACCTGTCTGAAATGCATAGTGTTGTCGTCATAAATTTGTGTCTACCTACTTCAGGGTGATTACTCTGACAGCGTCAATTGTGTGTGATAAGTCCTCCATAGAGACAAAACTTAGTGATTGTAGTTCCATATTGTAACACAAGGACAAAAAACAATTCACCAACACAATTATTGTGGTTTAATACATCTTTTATGGAGTATTTAATGTGCATATTTACCAGAATGGCATATAAACAAAACTAAAATTATGTTTCATACATCATTATAAATCTTTGTCAGATGACAGAAAACAGTAAATAGAATGAAAATACATCATTACCCAATCAGAATTGAGTGTGGCTTTTTCAAATAATGCAATAATAAAAAGGATAAAATAAATTTATTTTTGTGTTCATTTGTTATAGATTTGATTACTTTATATTCAAATTACAAATCAATAAATTCTTATTACATGTCCTGTTTAATTTGATATATACAAAATGAACTTATAACAAAAGTCATAAAATTATTTGTTTTCAAGTGCAATTCTAAAAGCAGTCAACAAAGGTCAGTCCACAGAAACATGAAATACATCAGTAGTACAAAATTTTATATAATTTTATCACTGATATATTTAATTAGATAAATGAGAGAAACACAAAGAATGAGTATTCATGTTTATTCTTTATTTATTTATATATGTATTTACATAAATATATTTACATTTAATAATTCAAGTTTCTTGACATATTTCTTATTTAATAATTCAAAATTAAGAAATGATGATAAATATAGTACTTTGAAATGTTAGAGAGAAGTTTTGAAACATTTTTAATACAAATGAGTTTAATTATTGAATATTTTTACTGTTGATTATATGATCACTTGTTGGTAGACTTACGATTTATTTTTTGCTCAAAATAAACACACATTTTTCTGTTGAAAAAATTATAGTTGGTGATTAGATTGTTCTACATCACTAAGTATACTTAATACATTGCATTTGATTACAAAAGAAAATTATTTAAGTCTATTTTTTAACTCTATAAATATTTATTTTAAAAATTTTAAAAACCATAATATTTTTTGGAAAAATGTCTGCTTAGTTTTACTAGTGATTAACATATACAAACAGCCAAATTCTTATCAGGCTTCATTAAGGAATTAAGTAATTTGGCTAGCCATAGGTGATTAAACTAGCTCATGTTAAATTATCTATAATTATTAAATTTAATTCAGAATATCCTGGAAGAAAAAGATTGGTCCAAATCAGGACTTGAATCTCTAGTCAAAGCAAGCTAGAGACAAGTCCTGATCTGGACCAACCCAGCTGACTACATTGAGGTTATGAATTATTAATAAGGAATTAATAATTAAATAACCTTAATGTAGCCAGATAAAATTAAATACAATAAATTTTCAGGTTTGTATATATTATACTTTCACCTTTGTATGTTAGTTCCATGAGTAACCAGTATGGTTATATCAAAATTAATTGGTTTGGAAGCTAAGATTAGATGAGAATGCAATAGAATATTGCAGATGCATTGCCAGATAGCCTATCCATAGTAAATAGGAGTTGCAAGTTTCAGTCCTGTTTGGGCCCAATCTTTTCTTCTCAAATATCCTAAATTAAATTTAATTTGAGATAGTGGCTTAACCCAGCTACCTATTGCTTAATAATTAGACTTAATGAAGGCCAATAAAAATTTGACTGCTTGAATAATTAAAGTACTGGTGATTTAAAATATTGATACTNGTTTTATATATTTAAAAAATTATATTTTAGAAATAGAGTTTTGCTAAATTAGACCTCTTTTTTAGTTTTAAAATTAGATGAATCAAGTCATATTTTTATTCTTTGTTTTTACAATATTACTGGTGGTGATGATCAAACAATGATTGCCACTCCCATACAATAATGAATAAAAACAAATATAAGGCTGCTTGCAAAAAAAAAAAAAAAAATGATTATTAAATTTAGAGCACTCAGTGAATTTAGTGTAAAGTTTTAATAATATATATATTATTGGTTTGAAAAAGAATGAAGGTTAATATGTTAATTGTTAAAATGATTTCAGAATTTTAAATTATAGACATTATTTCTGAATAAACATAAAAAATTTTGTATAGAAATTAGAGAGAGTTTATCACGAATGGGTGCTGATTTGAAACAGAAGTTACTCGATCCTCTCTGGAATACTTGGAATTCGATAAATGAATTTGCACGGGCTCACAGATTTGGGTATCAACCAGAGGATCCATCGATAACAGGCTCACAAGAAAACACAGTTGGATTAGATATGCAAAGTAATCCTCAGGAATTTGATGACAGTGAAAGTACAGGTAAGATCTAAAAAATGTGCATTTCTTCTCCTTAAAAATAAAAATACAGGTAACCCCTGTATAACATGGCAAATTTTTGGAACATAACCCCCCTTTTCATACCAGTTCTTTGTTTCGTATAACACGGATTTGCATAACACAGGAGTTATGCTCCAAAAATTAAAAAACATGCTATATTTATCTTAAGAAAATTTTAATATTATATTTTCATAAGTGATACATATTATCATATTTTGACGAGTATAAGTTGTACTTTTTTTTACTACTTTTTGGGGCTCAAAATCATGGTGCGTCTTATACTCGACAGGTAACCATTTTCACAGTGAAATTATCTACAATAGCGGTCCGTTAAGGGGTGTCCGTGCAACCTGTGCAGTGGTCCATTAAGCAGAAGGTCCCTCAACCGAATGGCTAGAGTACTTAGATTATCAGTCATTGCCGCCATGTTCTGTCGACTGTCATCATGTGACCTCTGAGTTTACATTAAGAAATGATGATTATTTCAGTTTATTAAAGCATTTTCTTCATTTTTTTATTCAAGAATATGATGAATCGATACCTTTGTTAAATTGAAATAATCGTCATGGATGGTACAGAAGATGAGGCAATCTATGATGATTCAGTCGATACTTCGAGGATTCAAGAATAAAGGGACGGTGAACCAGTCATTAATGACGTCATAGATGTGTTTCCTAATGGGCGTAATTTACCGGTAGATAGCAGTGATTCAGTTGAAGAATTTCTTGGCCAGTATGATTAATAAAATGCATCTTTAGATAATCCTATTAAAGTTTTATCTAAATTTTTTGTCTCAAAATAGGGGTGCGTCTTATACTTGTCAAAATATGGTAATATAAATTAAACAATGTTTTCTTTATCATCACTAAGCACTATTAACCAAGAGCATTTTCTTTTTGGCAAGATATCCTTATCCACTGAGCATTTTTCTGCATTATCTTCAGATCTATGCTCTACCTTTTGCAAAAAATGTTATTTTAGATTGCTTGCTTTTAGTTAAAAGATCTTTATAAATTTCCTTATATGATGCTAAGCACTTATGAAGAATAAAACAAGTATGGAATAAGGGAAACATCTGGCAACACTGAAACAATTTTTGAGAATGATTACATGTATCGACAGAAGGCGGAAAAGAAAATTTACATACTTAAGTATAATAGTTCACGAAAATTATTATTTTTGTGAACTATTAGTACTTGAGTATGTGAAAATTTATTACATTTCATGTTGTATGAGGGTTTTACCCAATTCTCAAACCGTGTTAGAGTTAATCTGTGCTTTACGGAATTACCTGTATGTAAATTTGTATTATTTCATTCTTTTAGTATCGACTGATTTCAATGTGGATGATGATGTTCAAATTGGACAATTGAATGCTGGAAAAAGAATAGATTATGTACTTCAAGAAAAACCAATTGAAAGCTTGAATGAATATTTATTTGCTTTAGGGAGTCATGCTTGCTATTGGTAAGTAAATAATGTGTTCATTTAAGATTAAATCAACAAATTATTAAGAGAATAATATAATGTAAAAATTAATTTGTAGTCGTAAATTCTTATATTGTTTTGTTTTAAGCACACATTATAAATTCTTTACATAAAAAGAATTAGAAATATGCCAGTATAATGAAGAAGCCATATTTTTCTATTATAGTTAAGTATTTAACGTCATAAAACAATAAAAATAATAAAATAAAAATAGACAATAAATTCACTGGTTATACACAGAAAATATCAGTGTTTCAAAGAAAATTTGAAAGTAGGCTTGGGTTATGATTTGAGTAATTGCAAACTAAAATCTGAAATTTTGATGAGTTAATTATCTTTAAAAATATGAATTCTTTGCATGCTGCAAACTTGTTCATTTTTCATTACAATTTTTCCCAAAGCCTCAAATCTTCATGGTAAATAAGTATTATTTACCATGAAGAGTAAATAAGTATACCATGAAGACATAATCTTTCATAACCTTATCTTTAGTTTTCTTCCATTCATTTTGTGTCAATCCATATTTTAACTGAACTTGTATATTTAATGACTCTCTCACAACTATTTAGAAGCTGGCTGTTAATTCTAAGAGGAAGTGCTAAACCATTAATATTCAATAATACCAAAAGACTTACTAAGACACCTTGTGAACGTGCAGCCCAAGTTTATTACTTCCAAACATTTTCGGTCATGTTAAATGACCTCTCTCAAGAAGAAGAAATAAGAGAAAGCAAAATAAAAAAAGATTGTAAAAATCGAACGCTTAGTACAAATGCAAAAAAAACGAATTAGCCTATAATCCATTGCAACTTATGACATCATCTTTAACACTGTAACGAAAGTATAAAAATCATATTATTTTTAGATATTATTTTTATAAAAATCATAATATAAAATCATTTTATAAAAATCAAATATAAAATCATATTATTTTTATAAAAATCATATCTAAAAATAATGATTTTATATTTGATTTTTATAAAATGATTTTATATTATGATTTTTATAAAAATAATATCTAAAAATAATATGATTTTTATACTTTCGTTACAGTGTTAAAGATGATGTCATAAGTTGCAATGGATTATAGGCTAATTCGTTTTTTTTGCATTTGTACTAAGCGTTCGATTTTTACAATCTTTTTTTATTTTGCTTTCTCTTATTTCTTCTTCTTGAGAGAGGTCATTTAACATGACCGAAAATGTTTGGAAGTAATAAACTTGGGCTGCACGTTCACAAGGTATCTTAGTAAGTCTTTTGGTATTGAATATTATGCAGTCTCCAACAAATATTCAATAATGTTAGTTGAGAAACAAAGACATTAAAATTATTTTAATAGAAAATATTTTAGTCATTTGGAAACTGTTTCTTTCATTTTATTTATGTTTGTGATATATCTCACATATTTATTTACACTAATGTTATTTAAGTGTTTAAAACAGTTTTTCCCTGCTAAATTGCATACCAGTAAAATGCCATGTTTTCAAAGGTACAGGTTATAGGATAACTTTAGTAGGAGTATTGCTGATGTATCTGTAGGGAATAATGGAAAAAATTAAAACATAATCACAAACAAAATACAGAAAATGCATTTTGCTTAAAGAATAATGTGAATGCAATTTAATTCTTCTGTAAATACAAATGTTACCCACATTTTGTTCATTTATTATTTATTTTGCTGTATATATAATTGCAGTTGTGAAGTGATAATGTTACAACACAGGAATCATATTCCCAGTTGAATCCATGATAGGATATTAAATGGTCATTCACCAAAATGAATATTTTTTTTTGTGGATTACATAGAAATAGAAATCATATATGACAATTTAAAGATTCATTTTTTTTCTCTCTTCCTATTTTTATGAGAATTGTGATGGAATATAAATCCACATTTAAAACAGATCTAAAGGGTATAATGATCTTAATGTATTGTTTTGTTGTTGTTAATTTGATTAAACACTTATTTGCCATAGTTCCAAGATTGTTTAATGGGATATTCACATTCTCATCATTGATTTTAAAGATTTCATAGCATTTTTCAATTTACATAAACTCTATTCATTATTACTACAAACATTTTTGAAACTGATAAAAAATTGTGAATTCAGGATATATTGTAGATTATCAGTTTCAAGCTTTTCCTTTCTATTATTGATTTATTTATTTAATTGGAATTAATTTTTTTCCTTTCAGGGAATCTGAAGATACTGTTTTGATGGTTATAAAGAAAATATATGCGCTGATGAACGTCTTTCCCGTCGTCAGAGGTCCTCGATCGCAGCATAACATACCTCTGTATAATCCGGCATTATCTTCTCAGTCTCGGTTCACCGACATTTCTCCTTCCGGCATGTCGCTGTCCTCTTCTGCGGGACAGTTACCCCAGGTGGGGATATCGCCGACCCAGTCCTCTCTAGACACGTCTCAGAATACCATCGCTTCTCCGGTGGTCAATCCTTCTCAGAGTCAAACGATCGGTCCCCCTCCTCTCTCGGGTTTCGTCAAGGCTTCTCCGCTGGTCCGAAGATGAGAAGAATTGTAGATATTTGTACAGAAAGAATGCCCAAAAACATCAAAAGATTCAATAATCAATTCTATGCAATGTTTTCCTAAAACTTGCATTTGAACTTTTTCACATGATAGAATGAACATTCCCAGTCCAGTTCTTTGGATTTTTCTTGTATTGTAAGATTTGATTTTATTCTTTGTTCTAAATCCAATCATAATGTTTTTCAATAAATAAATTTGTTTTATTCTTTCATTTCCTTACTTTTGAAATTCATTCATCAAATATATTCTATTTATCCGGTCATTTTAAAAACAACAAGATTACATCAAAGTTTTATTGATGATAAATTGTCATTATTATTTATTAATTCTCTGATGCCCAAATTTTTAATAATTTAATATTAATTGTAATGATTGTAACAGACTTTTATGATATAAAATAAATGACTTAATGAGAATGGAATGCTAATTAGATTGTGACTGATAGTACCATGAGTGTGTCACTGTATTCCCAATATTTTCTAAAGTTTTTAATGGATAATAAATTTTTTGTTAATGATCAGTTTCAATAATTAATTAAAATAGAAAAAAATTAATCTTTAAAAACAAGATGGCTGTTAATTAATGTAATCTTAAAAGCATTTATACTAGAAATGTTTTGAAACATTTATTCATGAGTAACACAACTCCCATATTGTAGCATTTTCATTTTTTACATGAAGAAACTTTCTATGCAAAGGAAAATAGTGGACCCACAGTTTTCTATACAAAATAGATTCAAATAGTCTAGGGGCACTTTCGTAAAGTCGAACGAGTTAAACGAGAATGACGTCATCGTTAGACTTTTCGAACGATTCGTTTAGAACTAAATGGCTGTTTCTAAAATCGAAGATAATGTTGCTAGTACAGTCTTATCCGAAATATTTTTCTTAGATTGCTTCGGGTGGACAGTTACTTCAATCATTTCATCTTTTAATTCACAATTTAAACACTCGAGTAGATTCAGAAACATCGATATCGTCGGGCGCCATTTTCTTAACGAAGTAAACTAACTCTTTCCTTCGTGAACTTCGTTAGAGTTTCGTTCGAAACGTCATCACCGCAGAGCATGCGCACTGAGCGAGACTACTACTACTAAAACGATTCGTTACTAACGCATTTGACTTTACGAACGTACCTTAGGAGAGAAACTGGGCTAATATTGGAATCTGACAAGAAGTTTTACAAAACTAATACTTTGGGGCAAGGCAAGTATTAATACTTACTTTACAAGCAAAGTTGATTTATCATCTGCCAGTAATGCATTGGATGATTGCTTTGTTTTAGCACAATTAAGGGAAAAACAAAATAAAAAGGTAAATTAGTAGAGTTGTAGGTGAAGAATGTAAAAACATTCTTCACCTACAACTCTACTAATTTACCTATATATGTCACCAGTAGGTGACATATATAGGTTTAAAATTGTGTTGTTTATACAGTCAACCCCCCTATAACACGGTAAATATGTTCCGTTCTTTATGAATTCATTTTGTATGAGTCCTTACCAATCACAGCCCAGCACGTATGCACTTTACGGACTACGGCTGTTTAATTTTATGGAAGAAAATCTTTCAATCGATTTCTACACTAATTCGACTCAACATTTCCAAAACGTATATTTTTTTGGGGAATAATCCATATAAACTATGCTATAAACAAAAAATTGTAGGATTACTTACCGAGTGTGCACCGTTTGACGTCGCCATTGCTTAAGCTTGTTTTCGTCGCGGAGCAGCGCACCAAACGACGGGCGCAATTTCTGATAAGTTATTTTTCTGCGAAAACTTCGTTGAAACTTTGGAGACATCGTTAATATAAATAATTTTTATGGCCGTTGAATAAGAAATGTATAAAATTACAGTGCTGTATTAGACTTACGGTACCTAATTTACATACTGTACAGACGATAGTAAACTCAACTTACTCGCCTAAACTCTCCATAGCATGGCGCTGGACAGCAGAAAGTATATACAGTAATAAAGTTACAATAAATTAAGTTAGTATATAATTATATATACAATACCTAATTTATATATAATACTGTACAGACGATAGTAAACCCAATTTACCCGCCTAAACTCTCCGTAGCGTGGCGCTGGATGGCGGAAAGTAGTTTGGCTGCCCAATGACGTTTCACCGAATTATAGGAGTTTTTTTACCATGTTTGTATGGATACCGTCGCAATTTTTTCGCCGTCATATAGGAATTCTAACTATAGGAATCCGTGTTATAGGGGGGTCGACTGTATTTTATGTTTAACTATATGGAATAATTTATTTTGAGTATGACATTCTACAAGAAGACATTCTACAAGAAGACTTTCTACATTGATGCACAACTACAGATGGTCATGGGAAACATCATTAAACTTTATAAGTTATATTAATATTTGTATTGAGTAGCTTGTATACTATGTGAAACATTGTAACCGAGTAGCTTATGAACCACTCAAAAAACAAAAAAATTTTCAATGCGTATCGATTGATTGCATTTAGATAGTGGCACGCCACACAATCTACAATAAAGGGAATGTGCCCTTTGGGTAGTGTTTTAAGTGAAAGTGGCCCCTATTTGAGTGTTAAATTATCTAATTTTAATTATTCTTTTGGAAAACCAAAAACAGATTTTATAGTTTTTGTAACCAGAAAAAAGTTCAGACTATGGCTGACAAAAGCAAAATAGAAAAGCATTAAAGAGAGCTTGCAGTTTACAAATAAGATACAGTTTTTTAAATATAATTTATAAAAGGATGAACAAGAAGCCTAGAAAACAGATCGTACAGCAACATTATACTAGTATATTCTGCATGAAATCAAAGTATATATTTCCTCGTTTACTTATAGGAAAAAATGCTTTATTTAAGACAATGTCAATTGTATATTTTTGGCATTTACAGCGGTAAATCAACAGTCGAATGTGTTCTTACGATCTAAAATAGGGGAAAACAAAAGAGCCAATGAAGTAAGTTAGAGAATTTATTAAGTATATATATTAATTAAAATGATTGACATTTTTTATCTTTTCAATGATGGTGTGGTTGGTGAAAACAAACCGTACCACGATTGCATTTCTACCATCAATTTAAAAATGGGTAAATTCAATAAAATTTCTCTTAGCAGAAATTTTATTAGCAATAAAAATCTCTCTTAGTGGAAATTGATGCATTCTCAATCTTGCAATAAACATCTTTGAATGATAGAAAGAATGAAAAGGAAGAAGTGTAACATTACATGGAATGGGTAAACACGATTTGTGGAAAGTTTGATATTATTTTGGTATACTATTAAAGGGCTCGACTCGGGAAATTTTAAAGACCGGATGGCCTAAGTGTCAGTCTATCACTCTGGGAACTGGCGACCCAACTTCGATGGGTCCCACGAATTTGTCGGTGTGGTCTGTCCCGATATATCGCACCCTATCCCTCACCACTCTGATGGCCCACTGTTGCCCCTCGTAAGTTTGATCGGGCTCTTTTAGAGGTGGAAAGTGTAAAAGCAAAAAAAAAAAATTAAAGAATTTACACATATGATCTTTAAAAAGTCAGCTGTAAAAAACGGCAATATTCAGAAATAGTTTTTAATTGCCGCATGTGGCTCAAACCATGAAAATGGACTTTGTTTCATGATCCATGTTAAGTATGACATCGGTGGCGAGCGGGACAATCGCCCGGGGGCCTCGCTCTTGCAGGGGCCCGGCGCAACAACCCGAGTAGAAAAAAGTTGATATTTAAAACATTTTATCCTTAGCTATTAGTTATAACAATAAAATAAATAATTTGATTAATTCACAGTACAGTATATATTAATATTAATAAGTGCCTAAATGAAATTTCTCATTTAGATTTATTCAATCTCACATTCGTATAAAAAAGTAAGATTAATTAACGATATCAAAATTAATTAATTTATCAGTGAATAATAATATTTTTTGTAAAATATATTTGAAAAATTCATAACTATAGTATTTGAATCCTTTAGAAAACTCACTTAAACGCGCAGTTTTATTATTTTCGTGATTCGTGGTGTTTACGATTTACACGCTCGGGGAATCCCCGTGTTTCATTTCGTTCGTCAACCCTTGTCACCTTACGCTTATTTTGCTAGCAGCTGTATGCGTCACACAATCGTTTGTACGGCACATATCTTTTGTAAAGAGTGAATTGTTAAAAAAAACTGTAAAACTGCTAGTAAATTATTTCTAAATTAGTTTTATGTGCGAAACAAGATTTATGAAATGAGTTCGCGTGATCGTGATGCCGGTAGAAAATTTGAGTTCAAAAGGAAACGAGATATGAAAAGAAAGCGGATGGAAGAAAATCTACGTGGGTCTTTATATAAATATATAAAAAGTGAAGGTCAAGAAACATCTAAAAACCCTTCATTGACTGAAAGTGACACATTATTATACTGTAATCCTAACCCAGCTGAAATTATTCCTTCAACGTCGTAATGGGTGCCGGTGCCACTTAGTAACAATAGCGAGGACATCATCATTGTCTGTTACGCCGCCACCAACACTATCCAGCCAAGAATACGTATCTAAGTCTATGCCTACATCCATGACTGGCGGAATTGAAAATTTGAATCCTCAAAATGACCCAGGTTTGTGGCCATTAACAATTACTGATGTATATCGAACCGAGATTGTATTGAAAGGTCCAATCCGGGTTAAAGTTGATTTTTTTCCCGTAAATGATAATGGACGGCGATTCGGCGAATATCATTACAGTAAAATATTAGCTAATGGTGAAAAACTTGACAGGCGCTGGATAATTTATTCATAAATAAAGGATGCCGTTTACTGCTTTCCGTGTCGATTGTTCGGACTAGAAAATACAAGAATTCCAGTGAAAGAGTGTGTGATTGGAAACGCTAAAGTCTCACGAATCTAGCCAACTGCACAAAGATTGTATGTTGAAATGGTTAAATTTAGGGAACGGGTTAAAAAGCTGTACCACTATTAGCTCTTTAGCCCAGACTCAAATTGAAGAAGAAAGGCAGCGTTGGAGAGAGATTTTAGAAAGACTACTTGCAATTGTAAATGTTTAGCATCTCACAATTTGGCCTTCAGGGGTCATAGAGAGAAATTAATATTTGACTCGGGATCAAGTGAGACTAGCGGCAACTTTATAGATTTAGTAAATTTAATAGCCCGATTGGATCTAATGTTGCGACTTCACCTTAAAACAAGTAACAGACAAGAGGATTAATGACCAC